TGGCTTCATCCTTACTGTATACACCCATCAGCCACAACATTACATTCTTGTGTTTGAAAACTTCTAAAATGTTTGTGACTCCTAAAAATTATTAAAAATTAGAAGCATGTATTTGAAATGTACTCTCTCAAAATGGGTTATCCCTTGTGCATGTGTGTGTGACAATGCTGTTAAACTGCTATTTTACATCTTTCGCTCTCTGATAGTCAGTGGACTATGTACAAACTAACAAGATGCCTGAGATTATCTGAAGGTCATGTACTACTTGACTGACAGCTTCTATAAGGCCTCAGACACCTCAATCCGGAACATACTGTATACTATTCCAAACACGTCGCCTCATCATATAGTCTGTTTATACGTGTGTGTGTGTGTGTGTGTGTGAGAGAGAGCACATGTTTTTGATACCTACTGGGGACCTTTTCTTGTATAAACACTGACCTTATCAGGAAAACGCAAAGCGTAATTTCTGAGGTCTTGATTAGGGTTGGGGGTAAGGTGTGAATTGATGTCAGGCTAAGGTTAGGGTTAGCTATGAATGGGTTATGGTTATGGTTATGTTAAGGGGTTTGGTTGGGCTGGGTTATCCACAAAGAATTAAGTTTATGGAATGTCCTAACAAGGATAGCTGCACAAACGTCTGTGTGTGTGTGTGTGTGTGTGTGAATACGTGCATAACTAAATGCTAGTCGTAAATCAACAGCTGAAAGTGATATGACAGCAAGGAGATGGTTTTATGTTTTTCCAACACCTTTCATGAATGCCTATTGGCTATTTCTCAACTTCCTGCAAAACAATCTTGCACGCACGCACGCACGCACGCACGCACGCACGCACGCACGCACGCACTCAATTACTTGAGCAGGGTTTTTTTTTTATTTTTTACTTATATATATAAACTAGACTAAACAAACAAAAACAAAAACCCATTTTTACATCCTTTTGTTGGTACTTCTCAGTTACATCTTCTCAAGTTTTGGATTTATTGTTCTACCATTCTGGTTATAATCTGACTGATCATATTTTACACTTAAATGTAGTTTTCCGTTTGTGTGTTTCGCCCTTCAACCACTGGTTTAATTACCTTCCATATAAGCACAAGGTAACCCTGGTATTAGATAGTACCTATTAAAAAGGTTTACTTACCGGTACTTAAAAACTTTACCACCTAAACACAAACATCCTCACTCAGTCTAAATGGTATAGTGCTAGAATAAGTAGCCTGACATGACAACAGCCAGTAAATGTTTTATAAATTGTTGAATAAGTAGAGAATTGGCATCAGCCTGTTTAAATCCATTATACAAGTAAAGATACAAGCTTTGATTCATCTTCCAACCTCACTCAACACACAAACACACAGACACATGCTGTGACAGACCTAAGGGAAATAACTAAAATAGTAGCAGATAACGTTTGGCAGCTTCTGCCACTGATTGCCTCTGCATTTTTAGGCGTGGGAAAAAAAATGCTCTTTAAGAGTCGGTCAATCACTGTCAAACCTTGATTTCTCATTCTCCTTCCTTCTCTCAGCTCTGTCTGCTCCTGTCTCCCCTGTAGGCACTACCATTCAAGAGTGAAAGATAGCATGCTCAAGTGCACACATCCACATTTGCACGGATGTACACACACACCCAACGCACTCGGCATCGGCACAGCAGCCTTGGTGTGAAAAGTGACATCATTTACATTAGCTGTAGGTGAAAATCTCAAATTCAGTCAACTGAATTTTAAGTGAAACACGCCTGAAGGTGCAGTTTTTCTTTTGACTTGGCTGGCTCTAAAGAAACGCCACTTTGTTGTTAGAAAAGCCTACTAACGTACTTGTAGATATACAGAAATAACATTTTTAATTAAATTAGTTTTTAAAAAATTCCACATGGTACCTAAATAGCCAATTTCCCTTCTCGTAAGGACCATTATTGACACTTGATTGCCCTTGATGCACACCGGTAAACACAGGAGAAGAAAAGGAAAAATCAAAAATCATGAATATTAAATAAAAAATAATAAGGCATAGATCCCTATTTTAAAAGGATGACTTATCACAAATAAACAGTCGCAGCGAAAAAATGCCACAGATACCGAGATGTTCTTCTGGTTGATATACTGCTATTACTCTTTTTTATTTAACCCTCAAATACTGATTTTATTACCTGTCTCAACTGATCCATGACTCTAAAAACCATCATGGTGGCTGCAGCTTCCTTTCCAACCTCAGCCCTATTCAGAGCAGATTATCTGGTTCCAACAGCTGACATTGTGACAACAGGAAACAATCACAAAGTTCAGATTCTAAAGTCCCTTTAGCTACATCCGATGCTATTTTCTACAATGCTTACAGTGTATGTCCACAATACATGTTCTACCATTTGAAAGAGAGAAGAAAATATTGCATGAAAAGAAGAAAAAAGAGAAAAATTCTAGCAAAAAGATTGAGAGTGAGAAAAGGAGATCAGTTGAAAGAGGTGAGGGGAAGAGTGACAGTTCCTTTAATATCCGGCTTGCGGGCAATGTTTTCTTACACAGCAGTGTGTGTCTATGTGTGTATTTTCCAGTAGCAGTTAGTCTCACAGCCCTGGGAATTACCCAGCTGTCAACAGACCATAGCAACATAAAGACCTGATTGACAGATGAAGGAGCTGCCCAAAGGCCACGCCCATTAAGTGTCTAATTATCAAGGACACAAGACTCTTGAAATGTTTGTCTGTGTTATTATCTAAAATCTATAAAAGTATCAGTAGCCTTTTAAACGTATTCTACCTTGGATAACCACAAAAAATACTAATAGCATTGGCTCTCCATTCAAACAGATGTGAATCTGGCAAACTCAGTATCCAGAAAAACCTGTCAGCCAGTGCTGCTGTAGTGAAAACAATGTTCCCACACCAATAGTTACGTCCAATCTGATTTTAATGGGCCTCACTTTTTTAGCCCTCAGCTCATTTCCTCCTTTCTCTCAGAGCTGTCACTCACTGAGTCAGCAGAGGGAGAGAGAAAGAGAGAGCATGCTGTGCCAGCTGTCTAGAGTTACATCTACCCTTATGCCTTTTGGGTCTAATGGCAATAAACTTTCAGAAAGCTCAAAATGCCATGAATTACACAAAAGAACTTGCTAGAAAACAGAGAAGTATGCATGAGTGCACTTTTGACTCATTCTACCGCATACATATTCACATATTCAGTAATACAAATGTTCACAAACAGACACGTTAAGGTGTGTATGTACATGTGTGTCTGTGTGTGTCTGCCTGAGCTAACACGCAGGTCAAAGTGATGTCCCATCTCATATCTGTCAGCACCCAGAGTTTATTTACCTGGTTATATTATCATTTGTTGACCTAGTCACATGATCTGAGAGCGGGAGGTGCAGAACCCCAGGCACCCCAGAGAGCCCAGTCAGGATGTGATGAGAGACACGGGCCTGTGACCTAACACACTCAGTCACAAATGCATAGCACAAGCACTTGCACAATATGACCTCTTCCTTTCTCTTTTAAAATCTCAATTTTTCCACTCAAATCTCCCAGTCATTTCCTTTCCTTTGACTTTTGTCACCCTCTGGTGTCCTTTTTTTAACCCCCTGCTTCTCTGTCTTTTCCATCTCATTTAGAGCAATGGTCAAATGGGATTTTGTCTTTGCACCCTTGGATTCTTTTGCTTGTTAACACTGAAATTAACTGGAGATTAAAAACCATTTTAATATTTGATTAATTGTTCATTGCTACTTATCAAACAAAAAAGCCAAACCAGCTTCTGAAATGTGAGGATTTGCTGCTTTTCTCTGTTTTAGATGATTATGGATTAAAAAGTGTGAAAAAAATCCCAGTTCGATCAAACTGGGCATTTTAATGTTGTCTGACTCTTTACAGTAACTACATGAAAGATCAATAGAACAATCAGCCATAAAATGATAATTTGCTGGAGCTCTACACGCAGTCTTACATTGACTGAACTCAACATAAACCTTTGTTAGATCTATCATCTGGATGCTGTGACCAATACATTACACACTGCTGGACACACATATAGCTGCTAGTGTACTTATTCTTCTTGCATTTGCAATCTTCAATCAGGTTTCTTTTGTTCCCCTTTCCATCTACTCATACCCCTTTCCCCCACAACCTACCATATATGGAGAACAATACTGCATTAATGGTGTAAATAGAAGACATGCTGACCTAATGCCTCCCTTCCCCGACTCACACACACACGCACTTGCAATGAACAAAATCAACGATGAGCTAACTTTTGTTTTATCTGCACACACACACACACACACACACACACACACACACACACACACACACACACACACACACACACACACACACACACACACACACACACACACACACGAAAAAACAAATGTCTAAACATACGTCATGCCTGATCTCCATTAATCGAATTAGCTGTCACCCTTAGCATCATCTGTTGACACAGGCCTCAGCCAAGTTTATCTACTTCCCTGTTAGGCTCTCTTCTCTCAACCAAGTTTGTCCTGCACATCTTCAGTCCCTCACTCACATTTCCTTTATGCCTCAAATCCCAATTTCTGCTTTCTATGTTTTGTCTGAAAAACAAAAGCCACACCTAAACTCTGCATGAAAATAATCAAATTAAAAGCAAAGCAGACTGTACTGTGTTGTATGTTGGTTCATGTAACATAATTATGCTAATTTTGGTCAGGACTCTCATCATACTGGTTAAATAAATGAGAGGCTAAAGACAAACATTAACAATATACATGCTGCCTCTTTGCACATTTGCTGCTTGTGGCATGTAAGTTACTACAGTAAGCAGTGTAATAACAATACACGTGTGTACAATCATGGTTTATTGCTAATGTGCGCATGTGCTTTTACACCATCCTCACACACACACTCTCATCTACTCGGCTCTTTGCTTCAGTCTAACTCATAGCAGATGTCTCACTGCCCAGGCAAAGAAGCCCCCCCCAAAAGGAGCATCCCAACAGAGAAAAACAAAAACACACTTACCTGGTATGTTCCAATGCCTATGTGTTTAGGATCAATCTTCACAAGCTCAGCCATTGGATCCTGGACACGTCTTCCAATGGACACTGTCCACACAAACACACACACACACACACACACACACACACACACACACACACACACACAAAGGGAACACACAAAGGGAACACACATTTGATTTTATGTCTCATGAGATTGTATGGTTTGTGTTTTTCATGAACTTGCTATCTGAATCACAGTTATTGAATATGCAAATCCATATTATTTATAATTACTGAATATGCAAATTGTCTACATATTACAGTGCTGGCCTGAGGGCGGGCCAAACCTAATTGTCATTCCTCCACCCCCAATAATAATAATTAAAGCTGGCTTTCAAATGGAGTCTTTGCACCTGTCATTTAGCTTCCTGATAGATGCTGGAGCCATGAACCTTTAAAACCACTAATTTAACCAGACCCATGCACAATGGCACACACAGCCAAATGTAGCACACAAATAAACACACAAAGTCTGTATCGACCAAAGTAGGGTTGCTTTTAACGATGGAGTCTGTAAGGCTTCAGCCTGCTGCTGCATGAAGCCAAATGTCTTTTCCATGAATATGCTGGCAGGGCCCAGTGACAAGGAGAAAAATTACAAACAACCTTACTCACATACACACCATAATACATGACATCATCCCCCGACACACACACACACATAGGCACACAGAGAGAGAGAGAATAACACAACCAAATAACTGCTCACATTCATGTCCCTAAAAAAGACAAAGGACGTGGCAGTTCTGGGTTAACACCTTACATCAGAGATCTCAAACTGCCGGCCCGCGGGTCATTTCTAGCCCTCCATCCCCGTCCCTCTGGCCTGCAACATGATGTCAAAAATATAACATAATCCGGCCTGCAGGATTTTTATTTTTTCTTACTATTTTTTCCAGTTGTTTTTATATCAAATAAACTACCCCTTCATATGCATTTATAATAAAAACATTTAAAATTTCTAATTTTAATTCATTTTAAATATTGTTTTAAAATTATTAAATTAATTTAAATTTAAAATTTATTTTGTTTGACACAAAATAATGGCAAAGTTCAAAGGTGCCTACAAAGCAGTTGATAAGAATAGGGCAGGTTTTGGGCCATCATTTATTTGCTATGAACAATGAAGAAAAAATATAAAATGATGATATAAAAATGTATAGAAACTGGTTTTTTTTTTCTTAAGTATGATGTCAGTAATGGAAATATTTTCAGAATACTGCGGTTTTGTGTAGTAATTAAATGTTGAAGTGGCACCTTCTATGAGCTAACAATACCAGCAGTGACGCGTAGCCATCTTGTTTTGCAACCAATGGCTTACATTGTTGTCTTTGTTAATCTTGTTATTTTTAACACACAAATGTAGTAAACACCTCAAGTCCTACAGTATATTTGAGAAAATAACAAATGCATTTCAATTATTTTAATATAGAGTATATTATTCTATTTAGTCCTAAGTTATCTAATTTGCGTGTCCAGTTAAATTTAGGAGGGTCCATTGGCACAAACTGGATATAATATTCAGTTTTCATCTACAAAAATAAATATAACAATAAAAATAAGAATAGTTGTGTTTTTGTCAACATAGAATAAGCCGTTTTTATCTCCAGAGGGAGTGGGTATTCTTTCATGTAAGCCGCCATGTTAAACCACCATGTTTCTACATTAGCCTTGAGCTGACAAACCACACACTGGCTGTAGATAGGGCCTGTCAGCGTTTCGTAGCCACTGTAGTTTCTCCTACATGCTTGGAAGGCTGAGCTATATTCAAATGGATTGCAATCTGCAACTTCACTGCTAGATGCCACTAAATCCAACAGAGATTCACCAAAATGTTATACGCATCAGCATGACATGTGTCAGACTTAGATCTTTTACGCAGAACGGACAGACAAAGAGAAAGAGAAGGATGGGATGTAATGGAGGGAGTATGTCTGGAATCAATGGCTCTCCTCTCTCTCCGCTGGTTGCGGTGGGAGGCTGCTGCCTGAGATAATATTTAGACAGGGATGGAGTTTCAACCCTGGCCTTGCTCAGTGCACCACCACAACTCCCCAATACTTTTTCAATCTATTCTGTCTCTGACTCTCCCCCCCCCCTTCTATAAGAGGAGTCCAGCATTACTCTCCAGCACTTATAGAAAGTGTATAGGCAAAATACAGTAATACAAAAATGAGAGGCAATAAAGAAAGAAACAAGAGAGGGATGCGCCATTCAGACAGGCGCATCGCTGAGAAGTGGAAGAATGTGACGTGCAGAATTCTGGCCAGACAGGAGGACGGCTGAGATGTAGCTGCACTGATATTGTTGCAGATCACACGGAGAAAATACTGCAACACGCAATCACTGAGTGACAATGGTCCAGGAAAACTGATCTGTACTCCTGATTATTTTTTTCCTTTGTGGTTACTCTGAACTAATCTTTCTTGAATCGAATAGGAGAGGAAAGGAGCACAGACCACAAAAACAGTCCTCCTGGAGTATAGTTGAAATATTGCCTATCTCCACTAGGTGTCCCTAGATCTGCCAACAATAGATGAGACAGATGGAAGGTGCCTATAACTCACAGTTCCCTACATACTGTGTTACATGGCCATTTGTTTAGACAGAGGCAGAAACACACATAGCCCCCAAAGGTAAAAACAGCCAGACACAAACACTCTGTCGCCACATCCGACCATAGTGTCTTGGCTCAGTGCCACTCTTTTTATACCCATCTAAAGTCAAACCCTGTAGATTTCTCATGGCTTTCATTAGGGGTATAAATATGGCTCTCAGTGGCTCGCCGTGCTGCTGACCATAGGAAACTAGTAAGGAATAATCCAGCCTTGCTTGATTTATGGCTTTTATAGAGGAAGTCTGCTGGAAACATTTATTCTCCAAAACTCTATGCAATTTACTTTTATTCTGCTATGTTTTCAATGATAGTATGTGGAGTGTAAGAGGGAGTCAGAGAAAGAAGGAGAGAGGCAAATGAAAGCAAGAGAGACATAAGAGAACCTAATAACAATGCCAGAAATTCACTGACAATGTGACAGTACTATATGGGGCTGGTAATAGGGTGGTACTTAATAATCTGTGAGACTATTTTCTGACAGAAATTTAGATGACTGCTCACATGAAACACTAAATTGTGATCTGTTAGTGTAAAAACAGAAAATTAAGTGAGAGTTTAACTACTTTTGCATTGTGTTCCCCAGTATTATCATCATTTGTGTTACATAGACCAACCATACAATAATATAGTAGTATAACAATGGCCTATATTATGTGTACTCTTTCTTTCTGTGTCCCTTACAAAAAAAGGGATAATATGTACAACTGAAAATCATTCAAGACAAATAGGTGTCTATTGTAATACAAGAGAAATTCACAAAAATGTTGACACAGTTACTGAATTTACTAAACTGTACTTTATCATTGTTAATTCATTATCGCTAGTTGTACAAAACAATCAATTCAGACAGATCACCTTAGGCTCTGGGAAACTGTGATGGGCAGTCTAACCAACTATCAAAATAATAGTTTGTTGCAGCCCTATACACAGTGTCTTTCACAACACCACTGTAACTTTGCCATTAAATGCATGGTGAATAATAATAATGGCGAACCTGCACTCCTAAGGTTGGGGTCCAAGTCTGGCATCTCTTTGACCGCCTCAGGACTCACACTGTAGATGGAGGCCCCGGCCTCATTGGTTATACTGGGGAAAGAAAGAGAAGGGTCAAAGAAAGAAAGAAAGACAAGAAGGGGCAAAGGGGGAGATGATGGAAAATATATAAAGGAAGAGGAATTAGGAGGCTGCTTGGTCAGTGGAGAAGGGAAGAGAGAAAGGAAAAAACATAGCGAGCTGTTATCATTGCTTGAAAGACATAATTGTATGGCTATTAAGGAAAATCACCACTGCTTTGCACCTTACATAATGCAGCTGACAGCTTCTCAAACTGGTTCCTCATTTGACTCTGGTTGACCCATTGTAGTCAAAGCTTGACCATCATTACCATCATTATAGCATCATCACTAGTAGCCCTGCCTTAACATTAACAGCACAATTACAGTCTTTCAAATGCTTTAAGGAATTTGTATTCGACTCACAGCAGGTGAAAAGAACCACATGCATCCTGATTGCATTTAAGAGCCACTGACTAGACTTTAAGTATGGCACACACTTTACTCATTGAAACGACTGACACTTCAATAAAAGACTGTATGACATTGTGTTTGTGTGTCTGTGTGTCTGTTTGATAAAGTTCAGGACATTGAGTCAGCAGTACACACCCAATTTATATGACACTACTGCCATCTAGAGGTCATGGGGGTATACTGCTATGTGTCAGTATTTACAGAACATAACTGTTATGGGTGAGATTGAGAATTAGACGTACAATTCTTGCTCAGATGATGTGCTTTTACTCATTCTTGTTTAGACCTGAAGACAAAAAAGGCCAATAACATTCCACTTTTCACAGGAGCGAAGAGAATGCAGTGTGTCTCTAGTTTTCAAAATAAACAGGTGGAATATTTAGGTGAAAAGAAAAATTTCACAAACAGTTTTACCTAATCGTCACTGGTTTTCTCAGCTGGCTTTCATTTCTTCAACTGGTGAATCTGGGTGTTAGAGTTACACTGTTATACCATTCAGTCCTAATTGTATTGCTTAGTTTCATATATATGTTAGTGCTCTACAATTTACTTATTTGGATATTATGTTAAAAACACTATTTAAATTAAAACTTAGAACTGATGTTCTTTTGGAAAAAGGTTGGAAATATGGGTTGGACGATACGGCCACGATTTATGTTTTCAATGTATTTATTTTTTCCTCACAAACAAACTACAAAAGACACCATATCTTAGGTAATGTGAGATGTCACTGCATCCCTAATGTCTTATATTGGGGCCCCTTCTTCTCATGTGATATTTCGGGGAAATTAGTCTACACCTTCTGTGACTTAAGGAAATTGGGAGCTTGTTTCACAGGGCCCTTAGCAGCTGCATATCCCTACATAATAACATCTGTAGTTCTAAAACTCGACTTTCAATCAATGACTTCTTTAAAAAGAGATAAAAAAAGAAAAGAAAAGAATAAGTATTACCAGATGTTACTGACGAATTGCACAAGATTCTTATGATGACTACAATAACAAAAACACCCGTATTCTTACAGATGGGTGACAATTCCTAGGGTACATAGGGTTGATGTTTTGTTTTAGATCTTAAAAAATCTTCATAATCAACTGATCCTGCATGGCAACAAATTATAGTATTTCCCATGTTAATATATTCAGTCTAAAGTAGGCCGCTTATCACCCATCACCACATAGACAGGATGGTGATACAACAAAGCCACTGATACCCGTGTTAATGCTACAGACATACAACTGAAGCCGTCATGTTTAGTCCTTCTATTCTCTCGGGTGGGTGGAGAGAGAGAGAGAAAGGGAGCACTGGAGGAAGAAAGGGGGGGCTTTTTTCCTCAGGGCTGACCAATATGACGAGGGGGTCAGCATCCCAGCACCGTCCACAACTCTGAACGAGGTCTTATGTGGTCCAAGCTCACACACAGACAGACACAGACACACAGACACACAGACAGACACACACACTCCCAGAGGCCTGGACCTTGCCACAACAACCTTGCCAAAATACAAGTATCTTGTTAATGAGGAATGGCAGAGGCCTTCTGATGAGAATCACATTTAAATTAACTTGTCCTCCCTCCCTCTTTTTCCCCCATCCTCTCTATTCATCCCTTCCTTTGCCTCACTGTTCTTTTTGTCAGCTCCCTATCCATCGTGCTGACAGCTGACATATCGCTATGGTGACACTACTAACGAGCACTGGCACATGACCTTCAAGGAGGTCAAAGCAGAGCTGATCATTAACCACACACACTGCCTCACGCACACAAAGAGACACACACAATAATTTCTGCTGAGTAAGACACAGCATATAAACTAATACAAATGTCATTCAAGAATATCTACTCTACCTAAAAATCGTGCAGCTCCCTATCTTCAAACACAGTATGAAGATAGATAGGCTTTCTATTATGTCAAACGGAAAGAAAACACAGAACTCACATCTTTAAACTCCAACCCCATGCTCATTCAGAGACAGTGGGACAATGGAGTAAAACGGTGGCAGCGCCTTAAGTTGCCTTTGTTTGAGACAGAGAGACAAAATCACAAAAGAGAGTAAGGCAGACAAAAGTAAAAATGAGTGAAAAGATATAATTAAGAACACAGAAAAATAGACACAAGCGGATATGGAGGGAAAAGAAAGGGAGGCCACCAGCCCCTATCATGTCCAACTTAATTAAGGCTGCCGCTGGGGCAGCTGGGTAACAGCACTGTCATAGATACAGCTCTGAGCCCTCATTGCCATAGCGTCCATGGCTGTCGCCATAGTGAGGGCATCATCCTGGCAGCCAGCAGAAGGTTGTCTGCTCTCCAGCTCTCTGGCCTAAGTGGGTGGATGGTCGAAGCATGGACACACATGCGCGCACGCACACACTCAGAGACATAAAGTCGAAGGTCGCCTCTTGTTGTAAAGCGATGACTTGGTGGCCCTGTAGGGTTATCATTTATTCGCACTCTCAATTGTATACACACACACATAAATAGAGGTCTGCCTTTACCCCTGTCCCATCCTGGGGCAAAGTCACAAACTGGCGCCCCTATCTGTTCCCCTACTGGTTGTCTTCGAGACACACCCTTGGGCCTGACACACAAAAACACACACATAATGACTGGCCCCCTGCTGCCCCTCAAGAAACCAACATTGAAAGAGATGGATACACACTTTGATACCTCATTATAGCCTTCTGGCTCACACAGCCCTAATCTAAATTAAAAACAGCTCATCAGATCAGTCAGAAACAAAGAGGGGCAATAATATCACCAACTAATCTGATACACAGGACAAAAAGTTGGAGGGAGGGGGCAAGGGGAAAAAGAGGGAAAGCGAGTGAGCAGAAATAGAATTCGTGAAAAGAAGATTTTAAGGCTAAATGCAATGAAAAAATACCTATATTTTAATATGTCAATGGCACTACAGTCAAATATTAAAATTATTATAAATTAAAATAATTCATAGGTACGTCGAAAAAGAATGCAAGATTGATGTTTGGTCTGAAGAAATTGTTGCTTATCTCAAAGCATTCTAGGCCCATGGACACACACAATATGTGAATATGTGGCCTGAGAAGATTCTTTCAAAGGGGTCGAAAACCATAAGCTCGTCATGTAGGTCGGAAGCACCTCCATCAAAATTAAGTGACTTTGTAGATGTTAAAAAACAAGGGTTGATTCTAGTGCACTTTTTGTTAAAAGCTAAAGGTTTTGGCGCACCATATACTAAGGTTGAGTCCTTATCACAGTGGCCCAGGGCCCTTTGTTGCATGTCATCCCCTCTCCTGTCTCTCCCAGCTATTTGTTAAAGAAATTAATAAAGCTAAAAACATCTCCGGAGTATTTTTTATTTTTTTTTCTCCTGTAGATCATATATCCCCAAATACAGCTCCAAGTCACAGTTCAGCATGAAAGTTGCTGATATTCAAAAATAAGCAAATCCCATATTGCAGGCATATTGCATATTTTGTTTTAAAATGAAAAAGCTATGTATTATTAATATACATCTATACTGTAAGACAATGTTTAACCTTCCCTCATTTATCTGATAACTAAAGATTTTAAAGCAAAGCCAAAAACAGGCTGAGTTACAGGAGTGATTAAATCAAACGACATATACCATACCAGAGTAACTTGTGGTACCGTGCCATGAAGGCATCTAGGAGCTCAGTGGGACGACTAGCCTAGATTAAACAGACAGACACCTATATTGTGTCAAACTACAATGGCTCAATCTGTCACTTTCTTTGTCGACAAATCAGTTTGTGTTCAGGATACTTGATTTGGCCTCATTTTACTGCCTTAGTAGGAGCTGTGATGTCACATTGTACCAGCCCGAAACATAAACATGCGCACGCACACATAAGTTTCTCTGTCCCGGCTGCTCAAACAGCTTGGGTCCATTGTTCAGTCAGCTGCAAAGCTTGACCTCAGGGAGACAAATTGAGGGACGTACCATCTTTCTGTCTCACACAGACAGACATACGCACACGCACACGTCGGGTCTGAAGACGATGACATTTTTCACAGAGAAAAGCGTCCAAATGGCAGGTGTCAGGGGCCGTCAGTCTCTAGCGAGGCGCTAGAAGGCAGGCAGGCACACACACACACACACACACACATAAACTCCAACTGCCAGTGTGAGGCACGTCTGAAAAGAGCAAAGCCTCACAGACACTCATGTCAATCTGGTAGCAGCAAAGGCCTGCACTTGTGTCACGCACAAACGCATACACACCAACACGCACACACCCCAATTCACATATACACACATGGCATGTCACACAGACTCATCACACATGTTTGTCACACGCAGGACCATCGCAGGGAACACTGGCACCCCTAGGGGAGGATGGCATGGAGGGCGGGTGGAAGGAGGGGATGAAGAAGAGACAGAAGCTGACCACCAGTGAGGCATGGTGGGAAGAGAGAGGATGCTATGGGTGATATGGATGAGGCTGGCAGATATTCACTGTCCACCACCTGTGAATGCTGAAGGTCCTCAGCCACCACTTCCCAACCCATGACAAGGTACACACACAAGCACGAATATACCGTAAAACAAAGGTGC